CTAGCTAATTTTTTGTATTTTTAGTAGAGACAAGGTTTCACCATGTTGGCCAGGCTGGTCTCGAACTCCTGACCTCAAGTGATCCACCTGCCTCAGCCTCCCAAAGTACTGGGATTATAGGCATGAGCCACTGTACCCAGACTGGAATTGTTTTCTTAACTTCATTTTTGATTTGCTCATAGCTATTGTATAGAAATACAACTGAGTTTTGTACACTGACCACATATCCTTGTAAACTTGCTAAACTCATTTATTAGTTTAATCCTTTTTAGTGAATTCCTTAGGATTTTCAACGTACAAGATCATGTTATCTGCAAATGAAGACAATTGTACTTCTTCCTTTCCAATATGGATGGCTTTTACTTCATTTCCTTGCCTCATTGTCCTGGCTGGCCTCTTTAGTACAATGTTGAACAAACAGAAGCTGTGTGAACAGACATCCTTGTCTTGTTCCTGATCTTCTGGGGAAAGCATTTTGTGTTTCAGCTTTGAGTGAAAACCCATTAGCCGTGGCCTTTTCTAGATGTCCTTTATCAGGTTGAGGAGACTGAGTTCTTCAGAGGAGGAGCTGTGTCAGCTCTGAGGTGACACATAGCATTGTCAGCTTTCGGAGTTTGAGGTCCTGGCTGACCGGGAGGAGATGATGTCCTGAAGGATGTGGACATGATGTGCTGGGGCTCTGGGGACTTGAGGGGAGACCCCGCTGCAGACCTGGGTATGGGAATAAAAAGGCAATATCAAAGGCAGTAATTGGACCCATGGGAGTGGACCATCTCGGAAAGAGAAAAAAGCATCAGGGGCAGAGATGTGGGAGAGGGGAGAGGAGCCCGAGAAGTGGTCAGAGAAAGAGGAGAAAATCCAGATTGTGTAGGGAGGAGAGAAGTGCCCCAGCAACTGAAGACGGTGCCAGAGCCTAAGAGCCTACTGGCTGGGGAAACCTTGCAGAAGAATGGGCCAGACCCGCTGGGGGCCACCTGGTAGCCCAGCGCTGAGAGCTGTGCACGCGGCCTCACGACACCAGGTGGCGCGGTGGACCATTCTAACAGCCACTCCTCTTAGCCCTGGTGGTTTCTTTTCATTAACGACTAATGAATGAGCTGGGGTCTCACCAAACCCCTGTTCAACAGATTGGAACCTCTGAGAGGGGCTGTGACCTTCCTGAAAGCATTACAGGGGCATTGTGGCAAAGCTGGGGCTGCCTCCTCACCTCCTGGCTCCTATCCCAGGATCTCTCTCCAGTCACCCCCTACCCACCCCAAAGGGATCTAGAAAAGTGGCTGGCAGAATACCCGGTCAGAAGGCAGCCTGGAAGGACGTGAGGTCCACCAAACCCGTCTAGGTCCTCAGCATCACCCGCTTTTCAGTGTTGCTTGCGGTGAGATCACCTTTGCGGTGAGATCACCTTCTGTGACTTTCCCATCAGTTCTCTGCTCCTGGTTCCCCACTCCTCATTCTCTTTCCACCCATAGCCACATGATTTTCAGTTTACGCCAAATTGAGTCACTCCCCACGCCCCCTGCCCCTGTAACATCCCTCAGGGGCTCGAAATTGCTCCTTACCCCCACATTCATCTCCCTCATCGCAGTCACACCCTGAGCCTACACTCACTTTGTGATTTGGTTGTTAAAGCAGGACATGCTTCTCGAAAGCTGCTGGTTTTGCCCGGAACGCTCCTCCTGCCCTCCTCCCGGCCCCTAATTAGCATTTTGGTCTCAGTTTAGACTCACTTGGCTTCCCTGGTGCGCTTCCGCGGTGCACCTCCCCTTTGCTTTGACACCTGCTTTGTCATGTTGACTTGTTTAGCCTATTTTCCCTCTAGACTGAAGCTCCAGAACAGCAGGCAGGGTCCATGTTAGGCGCAGCCTGTCATCAGCGTCCAGTCATGGCTCTCTACAGGCCATGGGAACTAAAGGTGGTGGTGCTGGCAGGGCAGGATAGGAGCTGGCGCCAGGAGCCACAGGACAGTATCTCGAGGACAGCCCTGCTGGGTACTAAGATACAGCCCAGAGTGTCTGGAATGATGGGCAGAGCATCAGCTGGTTTCAGAGTTTGAACAAATGGTGTTCAGAACAGCATGGTCTGCCAGAACAGTCAGCCAGAGTGCCAGGACTGAGGGTCCTACAGAAGGACCCCCTCTGTCACTGTCACTTCCATATTCCAGAACCAGGGGTGTGGGAAAATAAAGCAATTGTTGAACCCGATTTCAGTCCCAAGTTTTGGAAAATGTGTGGGTGCATCTGTAGTAGCTAGGTGTCAGCAGGGCCTTTGTTCCAATCCAGTCAGAACTCAACCAGAATTGGGGCCAGTAGATCCTTGAGCCAGACAATGACAACATGGAGGCACCCATAAAGCCGAGGGGTGACAAGCACCCAGCCATGCCATTCCTGTGGATACGAGGGTTGTTGGCCCATAGGACAAACTCTTCAAAACATTTTCCTCTCCCTTCCCTCTCGCAGCAAGTTGCATCAGTGGGTGGTAATAGAGGTCCTGAATTTCCCTAGTGCGTGGGCGGGACAGCTGAGGGCCTCCATGAACGCAAGTCTGTTACACAAAGGAAGTCACCTATTTCTTTATGTACGTAGAAACTTCCAGAAGCCTAAAGAAATAAAAAAAAGATCTAAATGAGCTTTTCTCCTTTCTATTTCATATTTCAATGTTACAAATATTTAAAATCTTTTTTAGGGGGAATATTCAAACTTGGACAATAAAAATTAGGCAGTCCAGGGGCTGGGCGTAGTGGCTCACACCTGTAATCCCAGCACTTTGGGAGGCCAAGGTGAGTGGATCACTTGATGTCAGGAGTTCAAGACCAGCCTGGCCAACATGGTGAAACCCTGTCTCTACTAAAAAAAATATAAAATTAGCCGGGCATGGTGGTGGGCACCTGTAATCCCAGCTACTCGGAAGGCTGAGGCAGGAGAATCACTTGAACCTGGGAGGCGGAGGTTGCAGTAAGCCGAGATCGTGCTACTGCACTCCAGCCTGAGCAACAGAGCAAGATTCTATCTCAAAAATAAATTAAAATAAGTAAATAAATAAATACATAAAAATTAGGCAGTCCTTTGTTTCTGCAGGAAGCTGTGACTCTGACAAACAGGAACAAGACTGTGGTCTTCGAATCTGGCTCTTTGCCCCCAGCCAGAATCTTCTCAAAATTGTTATCCCAAACTTGTCCACTTCCTGAAGACAGAGGATTCTTTCTAGTTGAGGGGAAGTTAAACCAATGTACAATGCAGGAAGTGGTCTAGTTGAGGGGAAGTTAAACCAATGTACAATGCAGGAAGTGGTCTAGTTGAGGGGAAGTTAAACCAATGTACAATGCAGGAAGTGGTCTAGTTGAGGGGAAGTTAAACCAATGTACAATGCAGGAAGTAGGCAAGTTTGGGATAATGATTCTCTGCTAAATGGGTTGAAATTTAACATTGGAAATTAGTCTAATCTAGTCATTCAGATAATGAAAGGTAAACTATATTCATCTCTATTTTTAGTAGAGATGGGTTTTCACCATGTTGGCCAGGCTGGTCTTGAACTCCTGGGAGGAGGAAGTGAGCGAGGGAGAGGGGTGGGCAGAGAGACGGGAGAGGGAAAGAAAATCAGGACTGGCTGTCTATGGAGGGGGACTGAGGAAAATTCTGGAGACACTTTGAAGTAGTTTCAGGCTGAGATAGATGTCATCAGGAGAGCCCCTTCTGAAAGTGACTCCAAACGTCTTGGGATAAAGGTGCCAAAAACATAAACTAGGTTACTAGGAATAAGTACATAAAGCAGTGCATGTGGTGGTCATATTGTCCAAAGACAACCTCAGGATATTTGACTTGCTGACTGGGCAGTGTAGGAACCGAGGTTGCACACCCCAGTGTGCGTGAACCCAAAAGGAGCTGCTCCTCTGTGAAGCAGGAGGTTAAACGAGGTGGTTTTTCCATGCCTTGTCAGTCTTCTGTGGGACTAATAGTGGTCATGTTGGGAGAGCTGAAGAGTTTAGCAAGAAGACAGGAGGCCTGTCCCTCTGACCTCTCCTTAGCTGCCCCCCTGGCATCACAGTGCACACCGTGTTCTTAAATTTAGGCCAAGTTTTGCTGACAAAAGTGAT